CACACACACACACACACACACACACACACACACACACACACACACACACACACAAAGAATACAAACTTACTCCAAATAAAGGTATATTTGTTTCACTTTATTAAGTTTCTCTCCCTGACCAGATGACTGTAAATGGTTTCTGAGAGTATCGCYACATTTCCTGACGCTTCATTATGTCGTGTATTTCTAACCATAATTTGACTCGATCCAGGAGATAACCTAATGCCAGACATGAGAGGATGTAGTCTGCCGCCACACTGTCTGCGACTTACACCAGCCACAGACATAAGAGTCTATACCCTCCCAAAAATATATACAGTAAAAAAATATATACAAAACTTTTTACTGTATATGAATAAAACACTCAAAATACACCTTTAAGTGGAAACATTTCAAATTCAATTCAATTCAATTCAAAAATACTTTATTGATCCCAGAGGGAAATTAGGTATTGATTTGAATTTGAAGATTCTCCTACTTTAATCTAGTTCTGACTATATTTAGAAGAACGTATTACAAAGACATCAAATCTGAAACTCTGAAGTTTAGCATATTGTTATTTCAGTCTATACAAATGATATAATCTGTTAAAAGATGCTGTGAGAGAGTACACACTCACTAACAGGAAACTATATTCCACATACACCAGACAACAGCTACATCATCAGAAATGGAGATTAGAATCCCCCAAAAAACAAAACAGAACAAACAAATGAAACAAATTTTATAGAGAAATAGCGAAAACATGTGGCTAAATCACTTCTAACCAAAGATTTAGTTTTTGACTTGTGTTTGTTTAGTGGAAACGACTGTTTGTCTCCAGAGCCAAATGCTTTTTCATTACATTACCTACTTTATTATTTCATTCACTAATTATCTGCTTCCATCTGGTTCACGGTTGCAGGGAGGCCGGAGATGTGCAGAGTGCTCTCAGCCGGTCTCAAGTGCACCACGAGGTCAACACAAGGACACGCAACCCTCTATACACTCTCACTCCCACTGTCCATTTAGAACCTTAGCAGAACCAAACATTCAYGGCTTTATCCATGTGGGGGGAAATAGAATGCTGAGAATGAATTTGAAAAATGAGCAAACTCCCACAGCAGCCAATCGAGGGTCGAACTGGGTTTTTTATACTTTTTTTTAGACAGTCCTGACAATGACAAGTTTGAAGCTTACGTTGATCATTTTTTCATAAAACTGTCACAAGAAAACGGATAAGCTTTAAAAAGAAAAAAATATATAAGTGTGATAAAAGTGAAATGTTAAAAAAAAATCTCAAATTCAAACTTTTAAATTCAAAACTGAGTGTAGAATATAATAAAAGCAAGACACAGTGGCTTTTCATTAAGATGTGCTTAATTGCAAGTTTAACACATTATGAGGCTTAACAGATGAAGAGAGACAAATGTAAAGAAAGATTAAAGAGAAGTGATAAATATCTAAAT